TCATGCCTCTTCACGTCATCTGCTCACCTCCACGTGGCTTTCTCCATCCTGCAACAGCCAGTGCGAATAAAGCGTGCTACGGTAGGTGACCGTCGAACCTACGTAAAACGTATCTGAACCAACGGAGCCTGTTGAGCTGGATTCGATGCGATAGCGAGTTCTTGTTAGATGCGCTCCCAAACACCCGACTACTTACTTCTAGGTTACTAACCCGCTCACTCCATCCCACTTGGGCCAGATTACGTAAGCATCGATTGTCAAAAACCACTAGGCCGCAGATGTCTTCTGCCCGTAGATTCAAGGTCTCATAATCGTAAAGCAAAGCTGGTCGTACAGTGGCACAGTACACGCGACTTATCAAATTCAGTGAGACATGTCGTCGTCGCCAAAGGTGTTTAAGTCATGCGCACGCCACTGGAGCCTTGGAAATGCGCGCGGTTATCTCTTTTGATGCACTACCGTCGTTGGTCACGCAGCTCCCTATGTACGGGAAGCAGTCAACTTCCCCTAATTCCTGAGCGTCTAGTTTTAGAACAGAAATGGGCGATACCCAGTTTTGTAGCATCACTTCGCACTTTGAAGTTACAAAGCACATGCCGAACGGAGCGACGGAACTTCTAATCTGTCAAGTGCTCTATGTGAATCATCCATAGATTCGAACAGCTTACTCTAGAGCGCACAGCTTTCCGCCAGGTGCGCATTCAATACCAACATTTTAAAGATGATTTAGCGTGTTCTCCAGTATGTCGTCTATTACGAAGTTGAACAGTAATGGCGAAAGAAGGCACCCTTGACGAACACTGCTGCTAGTTACGAATGACCTGCTCCCCTCGCCGTAGACCCCTACACCACCAGAAGTGTATAAGTAGATTGACCTCAGTGTGTTCATATACTTTATGCGGCATTCCTTTGTGAAGGAGCGAACCCATAATCGGTTCGCGGTCAACCGAGTCAAAGGCCACTTTTATGGTCAAGGAACACGAAAATTGTTGGTTGATGTGTGTAAGGCGTACCTAGAGGACTTGAAGCAGATTGAAGACTTGCTCGGTACAACCGCGACCTGGTTGAACTTCTGCTTGTTGTTCGCTGATATTTGTCTCCCTGGACGATGTCAGACAGATGCTAACAACTTGTTGACGATTGGAATGAAACTTATTCCACGGCGGTTTGCGCAGTCGTTGCGAGATCCCATTTTGAAAAGAGTGGGAGGAAACCCGTTGGGTCCAGCTGCTTTTCTTCTCTCCATGGCTTTGATGCAAGATCGAACTTCTGCTGCTTCGGCTGAACCGAATGAGTTCGGTTGTTGTGAGGTGCTACTCACATTTGTGTGTAGTATGAAGAATAATGCCGTTGGCGGTTTCCTTCAACAATCAGAAATTAGCAAGACCACTGATGGTGGTTTGCTGTGCCTCAAAGCATATCTACGGACTGCTCCATTCATTACCCTGTGTGCTGCCGCAAATTGTGATGATATGTTTCAAATGAGATATCTGTTGTGTGCCAAATTATTGGTATCCTAACTGTAATCTGTAACAAGCAACCATCCTCGAGTAGGCACCGCCTTGTAGAATTATAACAGTTCAGTTTATCATAAAACTCGTCCTTTTGTGCGTCAAAACTGCGATCGGTCGGTGCATACGCTAAAGTCATGAACAAACACCTTTTGGTGTTGTTTCCCTTCCGGACGCTCATGGACCCTTGGAGCCGCATCGCACATAAGTGAGTATTGACGGAGATCCAATGGAGTAGTGCGGCTTCAGCTGTAGTATTGAGTACAATGCCCATGCCACACTGGTCTACTGAACGGGCTCTGTCATCACCTGACCTGCGGAGCAAAGACTTCGAGGAAAACCGTGGTGTACTTAAGTGGCTTATGGTACTAAGATCCTGGATTCGAGTCACCGATGTGTAACAGAGATCACTCTCCAAAAAGTCCGTTGTACGCGCCAGATACGCTTGTTGACCTACCTGCATCGGAGTCCTCACGTTGAAGGCCCTCAGATTCAATGTTTGACGAGGCTTTAGAATCTGCACTCTATTTTGTGGTAAACTTACCGGGCTACCTGGCGACGAACTTTGGCAAGTGACGAACAAGTTGTCTGAGGGAATATTACGCTTCGGAAGAAGGTGTAAAGGGAGACTGTTGGGTATGGAAGACAAATAGTTAAACAAAGGCTGGAATATGTGAGCGGTAGCCTACTTATCACCACCCGCCCCGCTCGATGCAATGGGCAGCGCGGTCCTGATTACCCTGTGCGATGACCGATGGCGTATGGAATTGTTTCTTGTTTGTGTATGCATTCGACTGTTGGTCTAAGTCATATTTACAGATTGCATTGATTCCGTGCTATACATTGAGTTTGTGAATGGAAACGGCTTTTCTTCTCTTATGCAATTGATGAATTACTGGAGAGAAAAAACTTGTTTCGCCTATCGAATTTTATTTTCTGTTATTTTCCAACTTTGATTATTTCCTATACGGCTGGAGTAATGGTTAATCAGAATGCTTCGTTTTTTGGCAAATTGCACCTCATTGTATGCTTATTTCGGATAGGATGGCCAATCTACCGGTGTCCGATGAGTTTAACGTACGCCCGTGATTCCCTTCCCCCATCTCATCCGGTTTTCCGTGCTCATTTCACTGATTATGCATGCTTGATACCGCGTCCAAACTGTCTGCTGTTGCATACTTGTTTTATACCCTCGTCCATCGCGTGCGAAACTGTCTTACGTTTCACCTCGTTTGTCTGTTTTTTTCCATCTCACTCATACCGCAACTTTCTGTGTTCCGATGCCATGGACTGGATCATTTTTAGGTATCCTACTCTGTTGCGTATTTACGTGCGTACTCTTTTAAGCGGAACTGCCACTAGTTCTTCGTTGTCTGGGGTTTGTTCATCTCGATAGACGGGACCTTTCTTGTTATGTCGGTGGTCCGTGTGAGAATGAACTAAAGCTATGTATATCATGGGAGACCACCGGCCCGATGGAGACTGACTAAGGACACAGAGCATAGGGACAGAAATAAATCACCAGTTGGCCACACGAACTTAAGGTGAGTGAAACGTGAATCCGTCGTGATGAGGAAAAATGCAAAATTTTCCGCACGCCACGACTTCGTGCCAATGGGAGGAGTATTTCAGTCCAGGGAACGAACATTTGCTTTCGGTGATTGATGTTTATTCAACCGTGGAGTCTAATTGCTGATCAAGAAAGCTGTTGCTTGTCCGTTTCCTGTTCGATATCGTAGTGTTCTCCGTAAAGCACGGATTGTTCGCATCCTGTGGTTGGGATTACTCTCCTACTAGATGTCACTTTCAGTACTCTTCCTCTCGATACTGTTCATATTGATGAGTACACTGTTTCTCCATTGTCTATTTATTGTATCTTCCTACAGGTATGTGACGAATTGTTCTTGGCTCATATTGCACCGGTGGACTTTAACCGGTATCAGTTTGTGATCCGATTCAGCGGTCTTTCACCGGAATCGCGACTTGCTGACGATAGTGAGCCCGCGAACTCGCCAGTGGTTCAACTGGCTGATGTGGCATTTGTATTCCGTTACTATAATCCCCAGTTCACTTACATGGAGCTGATTTCGCGGTTTGTGTTCTTCATTTTGACGGAGCTAATCACGGTAAGTATGCACATATCAATGCTTTCTTTGTTTTCGTTTCGCCTGTCCCAGTCCATATTCCTATTTCTCTGATTTCATCTATCGGCAGGTCTTGTTTCTCGGAAGTTTGCGCCACTTTTCCCTACGGGATTGGACTATTGAACAACGCTGTACTGCACTGCTGTTACCTGCCCTCTTGTTCTATAATAGTAAGTCTGCTTTCCCGCTTATTATTACGCACACCTTTTGTGTGAAGAACAGCAGACAGGGGCCGATCCCACAATCACAAGGACCGGCTGTTCATTCGTGAAAACCGACAACTCCAGCCCCGAAACTGGGAGTGGTGAACCCCATAAAACCGGACTAATTTAGGCGTGGTATTGAGCCATACAACAGCGAAGCTACGTAGCATCCAACGTGGATGCTACTCCCATCCGGCGGTAGCATGGTTTCGAGCTCGGACCCTAGGGCTCAGAGCAGGCCGGTCAAAGTGAATTGAATCGCCTGACCACTACCCACCACCACCACCCATACAGTTGCACGGGAATTGTGAACGAGATTGTTCAGTTTAGTGTTCTATAGCGAATATTACTCGCTCAGTACCAAATAAACGTTCTGTCTAGGGTGGATTTTTCTATTTCATGTTACAAAGCTGTTCGGCTCGAACGATAAACTTACATTAGATAGCTCTTAGCTTCATTCTCACTCATCAAACAATCCGTGTGGTTGTTTTATTTGCTGCATGTTCAACATGCAAACACTTGCTATACCGTCTGAATGCCATTTTACCGTTGGTCACACTCGTTCGAGTCTTGCTTCTGACATTTGTAATACTCTGTTTTCATCCTTGTATTATCAATCTCTCCTCCCGACTCTTGCGATCGGGTCCTCTCTATTCACTGTCCGAAATCGCACAGATCCGTTCTATCCAATCCGGTTTTTCACAAACAGCTGGGTACCACAATTCCTGGACTTCGTGTTTCAAATAACGTTTCTCTGCTTTGTGCTTCTCTTTTGGCTTGTGGCTTATCACGGTCTACGCTCGGTGAGTTGTCCCTGTCTGTCTTCGTTTTGCTATCCTGTTGGAAATCGCACGTGAGTTGATTTCCAGTCGGGTTTTGCAGTGCTTTGTACACTAGCGGGCCTGTCGTTTTCCACCCGCTGACCTTTAGTCTCTTGCCGAAGTAGAAACATCTCTCCGTGAACTTCGGTTGTGCACAGCCGAAATGCTATCATCATCATCACACGGTTGAACAACAAGTGCACCACAAACACAACGAACCGCTGATCGGACAGTCTTGTGTCAGGTT